CTGAAGCTTTTTTGGTTTTTTCCGAAAAATTGGAAAAATTGAAAAAAGAAAAAAAGGGGGGGAAAAATGATTATGGAACGTTTTATTTTAACATGATGAATAAAATATTTTAAGACAAGGTGTTCAAATATTTTCCAAATCATTTCTAATATATATATATATATGGTATCAGATTGATCTAATTTCTGTGCACTGAGGACAAGCAAGTCCTAGGTTACAAACTGAACCCTCCAATGCAAGAACAAGATGCATTTCTTCCTTTAGGAGGTTCCATTGTCAGAAGAAAATTAAAAAGTTTCAGTTTTGTTTTTGCATGTGGGTGGGGATTCTGTTTGAAATAATTGTTTGGATACACTATATTTTTAATAGGCTACGTAGTTGTGATAATTTCATGCCAAGTAAAAATGTCCATAGTCATATTTTATGTTCCTAAAGTAACAGAATGATTTTCAATCTAGAAAAGATAAAAGAAATGCTAATGTAGCGGGTTTTTTTCAATTTTCCCGAAAATGTCCGTTTTTCCCCGGGAAAAACGGTTTTTTTCCCGAGCTTCCAAATTTCCGGAAATTTTACATCTCTAGTTCCACCAGGCCTGTGGTTGAGGGCGGCGACGGTTACCTCATCATTCCCTTTCCCTGCATTTTGCAGAGCAACGTAAAGTAGTTAAACAGACTGGTTTCTAGCTGGGGAAGGAGACGCGGGCTTTTGCTGGGCGATCTCCTCTCCTCGGTGAATTTCCCTTCCTGCTCATCCCTCCTCTCTCAGTACACGAACCGCTGCCTCCTGAAGTGGCTGAAGCTGTGGGACGTGGTCGTCTTTGGGAAGGACAAGCCCACCAAGAAGGCCAAGCCGGGCTTGGAGGCCGGCCTGCCCACCAAGCGTCCCAAAGAGCGGCCAGGCCCCTGGAAGAGCAAAGTCCAGCTGACAGAGGAACTCCTGGAGGCGGAGTTGGACCAGCACAACCGACCCAAATTCAAGGTGAAGAAGAGCCTCTGCCCGTGTTTGACTTTCCTCGGTTCTAGCCTGCCCTACTTCACAGGGCGTTGTGAGGATAAAAAATTGGGAAGGGGAAACTGTGCCTGTTTCTCTGCTCTCCTTGGAGGAAGGAGGAGGCAAACATGAGGCAGAGTTGTTATATAGTTGTGATATCAAATGTTTAAAGGTGTGCCTGTGTTGTTTTGGCAAGCCTCACACCGACCCTTTGAGGTAGGCTGGTACTTAGAGAGCCAGTTTGGTGTAGTGGTTAGGAGCACAGACTCTAATCTGGGAGACCCGGGTTTGATTCCCCACTCCTTCACATGCAGCTGCTGGTGTGACCTTGGGTCAGTCACAAGCTCTCTGAGCAGTTCTCGAAAGAGCTGTCTCAGCCCCTCCTACCTCACAGGGTGTCTGTTGTGGGGAGGGGGAGGTAAAGGAGATTGTAAGACGCTCTGAGACTCCCAGTGAAGCGTGGGGTATAAATCCAACTCGCCTCCTTCGTCTCTTCTTCCTCTTCTCTGCCCGTAATGTGCCCCGGGGGAAATCCTAGCAACAGGAATAACTTCTGCAGAGTTCTACGGGGGGTTTCTTCCCAAATAACCATGTGCCGCATAGCAGCCTCTCTGTCTTTCTCACTGCAGAATTTAGGGCAGGGGTGTCGAACTCATTTGTTACGACGGCTGGATCTGACATAAATGAGACCTGGTTGGGCCGGGCCATGTGTGTCATAAAATGTATTGCCAAGTATCGGAGATATAAACTTTATAAAGGACACAAACACAAAGGTGGGTTTTTTTACTTAAAATAAAATCATGCATAAAACATTAGCACTCTTGCAACATTTTGCTTATTTAACAGTGTCTGATATGGGCTCTTTTTGTAGCAGGTACTCATTTGCCTATTAGACGACACACCCCTAATGTAGCCAATCCTCCAAGAGCTTACAGTAGCCCCTGTAAGAAGAGCTCTGTAAGCTCTTGGAGGATTGGCTATATTAGGGGTGTGTGGCCTAATATGCAAAGGAGTTCCTGCTACAAAAAGAGCCCTAACTGACACCTCTTGCTCTGAATTATTGCATCAAAATGTCTGTGCTGTTGCAACCTTGAGTGTGCTGTTCAGGTGTGTATCTGTAAGCTGCAAACCTACGATGACGCAGTAGCAGCCGAACTGGAAGAAGAAGCAGAAGACAGCCAGTTCCACTGCGGGCCTGACAGAAGCCCTCCGGGGTCCTAATCCGGCCCCCGGGCCGCTTCTTTGACACCCCTGGTTTAGGGAGTTCAGGATATACACCAAAACAGAGACTCCCCTCTCCACACCCAAACAAGAGAGTCTGTGCCGGGAATTCAGAGGAAGGGTCAGACCCTGTTTGCCTGTGGAGGCCCTGGGAGTTTGCCTTCCTGTCTTCCCGCCTCCAGGTTGCCTTGCTGTGCGGCCCCCCCGGATTGGGCAAGACCACGTTGGCACACATTATCGCAAAGCATGCTGGGTACAACGCGGTGGAGATGAACGCCAGGTGAGCAGCCGCGAGCGGCTGTCGGCCTTTCCCTCCTTTTGTTCTCCGCTGCAATTCCGGTCAGGTGTTTTTGCATCACGATTCGGCGCTGCAGGGCTTAGAAACACATTGCGAGTGCAATACGTGGGATACAGCATGGGGTTTCGAGATGGAAGATAAACCAGAATATATAAGCAGAGCTGCCGGATCAGGCCAGTTGTGCAGAATCCGGCCTCACACGGTGGCCAGTGACGTGCTCCCAGAAGGCCCCCAAAACAGGACATCGGAACTCAAGTCTGCTTTTTGTTGTTGTTGTTCAGTGTTAGTTTTCAGGGGAAGGATCATTTCGTTATTGTGGCTTCCTGGCCGTTGATGGCTTTCCCCTCTGTGATTTTGTCTGGCCACGGTGTGACACAGAGCGTTGGCCTGGACGGGCCATTGGCCTGATCCAACATGGCTTATCTTGTGTTCTTCTGCCTGGGGCAGTGATGCTCTGTATTCCTGGTGCTTGGAGGGCCACAGTGGGAGGACATCTGGAGTTCTGGCCCTGCTGGTGGACCTCCTGATGGCCCTTGGGTTTTGGCCACTGTGTGACACAGAGCGTTGCACTAGACGGGCCATTGGCCTGATCCAACATGGCTTCTCTTGTGTTCTTATGCCTGGGGTAGTGATGCTCTGATGCTATGTATTCCTGGTGCTTGGAGGGCCACAATGGGAGGACGTCTGGCGTTCTGGCCCTGCTGGTGGACCTCCTGATGGCCCCAGGGTTTTGGCCACTGTGTGACGCAGAGTGTTGGACTGGATGGGCCATCGGCCTCATCCAACATGGCTTCTCTTGTGTTCTTATGCCTGGGGCAGTGATGCTCTGTATTCCTGGTGCTTGGAGGGCCACAGTGGGAGGACCTTTGGAGTTCTGGCCCTGCTGGTGGACCTCCTGACGGCCCCTGGGTTTTGGCCACTGTGTGACACAGAGTGTTGGACTGGATGGGTCATTGGCCTGATCCAACATGGCTTCTCTTATGTTCTTACGTTCTTTGAAAGATGACTAAATTATTGACGGCTAATTCTGTAACTTCAGTTTGGTGTAGTGGTTAAGTGTGCGGACTCTAATCTGGGAGAACCGGGTTTGATTCCCCACTCCTCCACTTGCACCTGCTGATGTGACCTTGGGTCAGTCACAAGCTCTGGCACAGCTGTCCTTGAAAAAGAGCAGTTTGTGCCAGAGTTCTCTCAGCCCCACCCACCTCACGGGGTGTCTGTTGTGGGGAGGGGAAGGGAAAGGAGTTTGTAAGCCGCTCTGAGACTCCATCGGGTAGTGAAGGGCGGGGTATAAATCCAATCTCTTCTCTTCTTCTTCTTCATCGCCCCTGGAGTGAAGAAGCGCATCTGTTTGCTTGCCCAGGGGTACGAGCCTGGTGCCTAAAAGAAAGGGAAGTAGGAACCGGGTGAGCCTAAAAGGGGAGGGCCGGTTGATGCCTACGATTCACGATGTTCCGCTCTCCGAAATCGTAGAGTCCTGTGGCTAACAGATCTATTGTGTCGTGTTTGGATTCTAAGTGGAGTACAACGCTTAAGGGGATTGTCTGCCTTCTCCCCCCCCCAAAAAAAACACCCCACCACTTCCTAGATCCATTAGAGAGAGCCAGTTTGGTGTAGTGGTTAAGTGCGCGGACTCTAACCTGGGAGAACCGGGTTTGATTCCCCACTCCTCCACTTGCACCTGGCTGGATGACCTTGGGCAAGCCGTAGTTCTGATAAGAGCTGTCCTTGAAAAAGAGCAGTTTGTGTCAGAGTTCTCTCAGTCCCACCCACCTCACAGGGTGTCTGTCGTGGGGAGGGGAAGGGAGAGGAGTTTGTAAGCCGCTCTGAGACTCCAAGTGAAGGGCGGGGTATAAATCCAATCTCTTCTTCTTCTTCTTTATTTCAGCGACGACCGTAGCCCCGACGTCTTTAAACAGCGGATAGAAGCTGCCACCCAAATGAAGTCTGTGCTGGGAGCTGACGAGAGACCGAACTGCCTCATCATCGACGAGATCGACGGCGCTCCAACGGTAGGAAGGATTTCTCTGGTTGACAGGGAACCCTCCCCTCTCCTCAGGACTTGCTTCTTTATACGAAGAGACACTTTGACTCATCTCTGCCCTTGTACGTCTCCCTCGCTGTACCCTCTGGGCAGGACTGTCTTATCCATTGGGCACAGTGCCCAGGGCCCACGATATTTTTAGGGGGGCTTGAAAATGTTTTAATTTTTTTTCCTCACATCAAGGTGTGTGTGTGAAATTTTAGGGCCGGCGAAAGTCTATTAAATTTTGCCTTTAAAAAAAAAATCAAATGTTGGAAGTATTTTAAAGTTAGATCAAAAATTAATTTTCTATTTTGATGTTATTACGGCGATGTTATTACGGCGAGAGGGGTCCACGGAGGCAAACAAGATTTTGGGGTGTGCGAGCTTACAAGAGTCAAAACTCCCTTAATCAGATAGAAGTTGGAATGGACATCCCTGAGCCCTTGTATCTCAGTCAGAAGGTGGGAAGGGTGTTGCAAAGAAGAAACTTAGGACGCAGCGTTACAATGCAAAATGTAATCGGCTTGATTAAAGCTGTGGGGAAATCCTGGGGGGGGGGGGGATTAGTCTACAACACCAGCAGGAGAACATTTTAATCTTCCTGGTCATTCCGTGGCTGATGTAAGAGTGGTAACCCTCAAACACAGATGCTTCAAGGGGAGAATAGAACGTGAGACTGCTGAACTTGAATTCATTCACAAGTTCAGAACAGTGGAACCCCCCCGGTCTGAACAGGGACATAGGATTCTTATCCCACGACAGATCCTAACTTTCTGCCCCCAAAGGAGTTCCCCTCTGCTCTTATCTAGCTGGTTACATGTTGCATTGTACCTCTGCATCATTTCTTTGCAGTACCCCTCCCCGCCTTCTGTTTGGGATATTAGGGCTCTGGGATCGCTTGTATTTGATGAAAGGAGGCTTAAAAAACTCATACCCAAAAATCTTGTTGTTGTCTAGGATACTGCCGGACTCGTATCTAGTTGTTCTGTTAGTAGTGATAGCTAAACAGGACCTCCTGTGTATAGGATTTGGACACCAGATGCTGGGGACAAGAAATTGCATGGGGAGGGGTATCTTTATGCCCTGCTTGGGGGGATGCTGGGACAAGAAATTGCATGGGGAGGGGTATCTTTATGCCCTGCTTGGGGGGATCGGACACACACCTGGCTGGCCCCGTTTGGAAACAGGATGCTGGAGGAGATGGACTACAGCGTCTGATCAAGGAGGGCTCTTTTGATGCCCCAAACCGGCTCCCTTTCTGCTTCCCAGGCATCCATCAACGTGCTGTTGAACACCGTCAACCAGAAGGGCAAAGAGGCGGAAGCGGAAGGGGCCGCCAGCAGCGCGAGTGGGCGGAGGAAGCGGCGAGAGGGCGGACTCCTCTTGCGTCCGATCATCTGCATTTGCAACGACCAGTAAGGGGCAAAACATCGGGGCAGAAAACTCTTGTGTTGGCATGTTTGGCCTGCTTAAAACATTTGTGAACCCACCCACCCCCCCACCCCGAAGTGGCTGTCGCAGGGGCTGCCTCCCTGGTCCTGTGTTTCTCATGGCCTCTCGCTCACCTGCTCTCTCTCCGTCTCCTAGGTACGTCCCTTCTCTGCGTCAGCTACGGCAGCAGTCTTTCCTTCTCCACTTCCCCTCGACGGCCCCATCCAGGCTGGTGCAGAGGCTGCAGGAGGTCGGTGTGAACCCAAAGTGTATTTCTTCGGCCCTCCGAGAGCGGTTTCTCTGCCACCTGAACTGGGCACGCACGGCAGGCCGTGACGCGAATATTTGTCAGAGGTGCTTCAGGCTGGTCCTGCATTGGGCAGGGGGTTGGACTAGATGGTCTGTCTGGCCCCTTCCAACTCTCTGATCCTATGACGTAGCCAAGCCCTACAGGCTTGTAAGAACACTACAAATGATTCTGACATCTTGGGAAATTACTCTCTGAGGGTCTCTGCCGGTACTTAGAGTTGAGTTTAGAATGAGAGCGACGGATAGATCCGTCCAGTGGGAACTGTGGCCTTTAAAGGGTGTTGCATCTTGGCCGTTGTGTCGTGTCGTGTCCTAAGATCTGGGTGTGACTCTTCCCTCTGCTGCAGGGGTCGTTTCATAGAAAAAGAGCTAGGGGAACTCATTAGCATAACTCATTAGCATATGCCACCCCCCTGACATCACCGGAAGTGTGTCATAAGGCCACACCCCCTGACATCACCGGAAGTGTGTCATAAGGCCACACCCCCTGACATCGCCGGAAGTGTGTCATAAGGCCACACACCCCGCCCCCAACGGTCCCGGCCACTGCCGCCAGCCTTGCAGCTCCACTGACGAGCCCCATGAGGGGCTCGGCGGTGCACCTGCGAGGCTGGCGGGAGTGCAAGGAAGGCCCTCCCTGGCCCCAGGCAGGCAGGGGTGGGGAGAGGCAGGGAGGAAGCAATTTACCCTCCCTCTTCTCCTGCCTCCTCCTGGCTGAATGAGGGCCGGAAGCGGGGCGGCCGGAAGCAGGGGGCGGGGCTTCGTCATGTGCCCCGCCCCCCGTACCTCACCTGGGGGAACTGCAATCCCCCGCGATCCCCCCCAAAATGACCTCTGCTCTGCTGTGACCTCAGGCCAGGTTCTTGGCTGTAAGCTGCCTTACGAGAGAGTTCTGAGGATAAAACACTGTTCAGAGTGGGAACCACCTCTGGTTGCCTTGGAAACCCGATGGGATTGCTGGAAGTCAGCTGTGATTGGATGGAAGCTTGCCCCACCAATTAGAGGCAGCCCTGGCCCAGGTGGCCCAATCCCGCCAGATCTCGGAAGCTAAGCAGGGTCGGCCCTGGTTGGTACTTGGATGGGAGACCCCCACGGACGTCCAGGGTTGCTACGCAGAGGCAGGAAAATGGCCAACCACCTCTGAACCTCTCTTGCCTTTACCTGGATGACCCAGGGTAGCCCGATTCCCATCAGATCTCAGAAGCTAAGCAGGGTCGGCCCTGGTTAATCTTTGGATGGGAGACCTTTTAGGAATACCAGGGCTGTGATGCAGAGACAGGCAATGGCAAATGTCTCTTGCCTTGAAAACCCCACAGGGCTCGCCGTAAGCCGCCTGTGCCTCGCCGTCCCTTTCCACCACCATCTTCTCCTGCCTAATCACTGTCGTTCCCTAAATAATATTGCAGTGTCCGGTCCGCTGTGGGAGAGTCCCCATTGTCTCCGGGCATCCAGGGAAGGGAAGCTTGGGAAAAATTAGCTCTTTTATTCCCCCGGGCTTCCAGGGGCTAATTTGGTGGTCAGTTCTGTAGGCTTCCTCGTGGGCTGCAAAGAGTGTTCACTTCTGTTTTTTAGATCGCCGCCCAGCAGGGCATGAAAGCCGACACGGGGGCGCTGACGGCGCTGTGCGAGAAGACGGAGAACGACATTCGCTCCTGTATCAACACCCTGCAGGTGCGTCGGAGCCTCGGCAGGCCAGAAATGCCAAGCAGCGACGGCCATCCTCGGAATGCCGTTCTCCTATTTCACGTGGAAAATACAACAAACAATAAACACCGTGACGTGAATGACTAGGACATTTAGTAAAGACGATGTTGCGTAATGAATCAAACTTTACAAAATTACAAGGCCATCATACTCAGGCAGGGCTCTTTTTGTAGCAGGTACTCATTTGCATATTAAGCGACACACCCCTAATGTAGCCAATCCTCCAAGAGCTTACAGTAGCTCCTGTAAGAAGAGCTCTGTAAGCTCTTGGAGGATTGGTTACATTAGGGGTGTGTGTGGCCTAATATGCAAAGGAGTTCCTGCTACAAGGAAAGTCCATCATACTCAATTACGAGGAAAGTCCATCATACTCAATGAGCACCCGGATATAAACTCATTTCATCACAATCTTCCTCAGGAGCAGGGCTCTTTTTGTGGCAGGAACTCCTTTGCATATTAGGCAACACACCCCTAATGTAGCCAATCCTCCAAGAGCTTATAGAGTTCTTACAGGAGCTACTGTAAGCTCTTGGAGAATTGGCTACATTAGGGGTGTCTTGCTTAATATGCAAATAAGTTCCTGCCACAAAAAGAGCCCTGCAAGTCAGGAGTAATCCTATTGTATAGCAAGGTATCAGCGTCTTGATACTGTCTGTTAGTAGCAAACCAGTGCTTAACTTCTTTATTTTCTGCACTTTTATCTTCTGGTTCCGTCTCGAGTGTTGCTATGCTGGCTGAAATGCTCTCCATGGAACACTGCAAATATTTTGCCAGCCACATTCAAAATTGAAGGCTTCCAGCCAGAAGAAAAGAGGACTGGTGCTACTACTGCATAATACAGGAGGCTTGTGCACCTAATTAAAGAGACAAAACTGGCTTGCTCCTAATACTAACACTCGAAATGGAACCAGAAGATAAAAGTGCAGAAAATGAAGAAGTTAAGCATTGGTTTGCTACTAACAGACATCGAACTGTATCGAGAGGCTGATACCTTGCTATACAATAGGATGAGTCCTGAGGAAGATTGGGATGAAATGGGTTTATATCCGGGTGCTCGTTGAGTATGATGGACTTTCCTTGTAATTGAGTATGATGGACTTTTCCTTGTAATTTTGCGAAGTTTGATTCATTATACAACATGGTCTTTCCTAAATGGCCTAGTCCAGTGGTGGCGAACCTATGGCACGGGTGCCAGAGGTGGCACTCAGAGCCCTCTCTGTGGGCACACGTGCCGTCGCCCCAGCCAGGCCCAGACCATCATTAAAGTGTCGAATTCTCTGCCAAATAATTTTAAGTAAATGAAAACATTTGGGATTGCTTTCCTTACTTTGTTTGGATCATCTTAAATTAACGTATGAGTTGTTTTTTCTAAAGTAAAACCTCAGTATTCAAGTTAAATGGCCGTGTTGGCACTTTGCGATCAGTAAGTGGGTTTTGGGTCGCAGTTTGGGCGACTAAAAGGTTCGCCATCACTGGCCTAGTCATTCATGTCGCAGTGTTTGTTGTTTGCTGTATTTTCCACATGGATACCTGTGAGGCCCTCTTGGTTTGTTCTCTCATTTCACGGCATTTCCCTTCTCTCGGGCTCTTCACAAAGACGCCCGGCATTAAAGGGATTCCACCCCCTTCCGTTTTGCCGTCGCCCTCCAGTCCGCAGCACAGACTCAGGTTTCCCTGTTCCTGTCTTCCCCAGTTCCTGCATAGTCGCGGCCAGAAGGAACTGAACTTGCGGACGGTGCAGACCGCGACGGTCGGCTTGAAAGACCAGAACAAAGGGCTGTTCTCCATCTGGCAGGAGATCTTCCAGCTCCCGAAGGCTCAGAGGTGAGGACAGGGAGCCGGTGGCGACTTGGTCAGGAAACCCTTTCCGAGCTTGCCGAGCGAAGCTGATTGTGAGTCGTCTCTGCAAAGAGCGCTTCGGCACAGCTAAGGGAGTCGATTTTAATATCCCAATTCTGCAACCTCAGACCTATTTGCAGATAAAAGTAGTTCCCACTTGAGCACACCATGACGAACATGCTGAATTAGTCGGCGTCAGCCCTAAGTGCCAATGAGGCTGCCCGATGTAGCTCTGCATGATTTTCCGATCTGGCTTCCAGTCAGTTATTCAAATGCATCTGTCATGCTTGCCGATAAAACTAGTTCCCGCCCGAGCACACCATGATGAACAAGCTAAATAATTTGGCGTCAGCCCTAAGTGTCAGTGAGTTTACCCGATGTAATTCTGCATGATTTACTGCTCTGACTTCCAGTCAGTTATTCAAATGCTTCTGTCATATTTGCAGATAAAAATAGTTCCCACCTGAACACACCATGATGAACAAGCTAAATAATTTGGCATCAGCCCTAAGTGTCAGTGAGTTTACCCGATGTAACTCTGCATGATTTACTGCTCTGACTTCCAGTCAGTTATTCAAATGCTTCTGTCATATTTGCAGATAAAAATAGTTCCCACCTGAACACACCATGATGAACAAGCTAAATAATTTGGCGTCAGCCCTAAGTGTCAGTGAATTTACCCGATGTAACTCTGCATGATTTACTGCTCTGACTTCAGTCATATTTGCAGATAAAAATAGTTCCCACCTGAACACACCATGATGAACAAGCTAAATAATTGGGCGTCAGCCCTAAGCGTCAGTGAGGCTACCTGATGCAGCTCTGCATGATGTACTTGAATAGCTCCCAGTCAGCTATTCAATTGCATCTGCTATATAGTGCGTGACAAAATGATCTGCTGCTCTTTGGGAGAGGCTGCCTGTCGTGTTTCTGCACGAGTCCCTGCTCTGACTGCACCCCCTTTGCTTGGTATAGCAGCTTATGCAGAGATGTCCGGTGAATGCCCGTCGTTCTTCCTCTCCTGCTCTTGACAAGAAAAGCTCTTTTGGGTGTAAATGTGCTCCCTGTTTTTAACTCAGGATTTGGGGTGGGTGGGGGGCACAAAAGGACACTTGGAAGAAGAGGGGGGCCGTTTTGTATATAGGCCGGAAGACAACGGCGATCCGTCAGCGGTGTACTCATTTGGGAATTCACTTCTGCAGCGGGCTGGACTGAAGGTTTGCTCCCTTCTCTTGTATTGTCTGAATTGGGGTTGCACTGGTGGGTCCCCAGCCTCATAGATTTCCCCCCTTATTCTCACTCGCTGCTCTCCTTTCCTCTGTCTGCACGCTCTCTCCGACCTGAGCGCTTTCCTTTTCCTGTCCCAAGGCACCGGATAGGGATGGACCCTTTGAATCCGGTCCTCATGAGCGGTGGGGATGACTTCTTCGGCCCGACCGCGGCCCAAGCCTCCCTTAACGCTGCTGCCCAAAGATTCCACCGCATCCTGCATCTCGGCACATCCTCTGGAGAACATGAAAAGCTCACCCAGGTATTCAGTTCAGGGGCAGGTCCCCATTTCGGGCCACTGCCCAAACCTGGCTAGCTGGCTCTGGCCTCTTCGCTTTCCTCTCCCTTATCTCCCGGCCCTTGAGCTCGGAGCGGTGGCTCTGCTCTGCTCTCACAGTGCTTTCTTCTGGTCCTAGAAGCCTAATGCTCTGGGCTTAAAAAGCATACGGCTTTAGAAGTGAAACGACCACTCTGGATTTGGCTTAAGAAAAACAGAAGAGCCCTGCTGGATCAGACCACTGGTCCATTTGTCCAGCATCCCATCTCACACAGGGGCCAACCAGTTCCTCTGGAAGGCCAGCAACAGGGCAGAGAGGCCGAGGCCTTCCCCTGAGAAGAACCTCAGAAGAGCTCTGCTGGATCAGACCAGTGAGGGTCCACCTAGTCCAGCATCCTGTCTCACACAGTGGCCAACCAGTTCCTCTGGAGGTCCAACAACAGGGCAGAGAGGCCAAGGCCTTTCCCTGATAAGAACCTCAGAAGAGCCCTACTGGATCAGACCAGTGAGGGTCCATCTAGTCCAGCCTCCTGTCTCACACAGTGGCCAACCAGTTCCTCTGGGGGGCCAACAACAGGGCATGGAGGCCGAGGCCTTCCCCTGACAAGAACCTCAGAAGAGCCCTGCTGGATCAGACCAGTGAGGGTCCCTCCAGTCCAGCATCCTGTCTCACACAGAGGCCAACGAGTTCCTCTGGAAGGCCAACAACAGGGCAGAGAGGCCGAGCCCTTCCCTGATATTGCTTCCCGGCTCTGGGATTCAGAGGATTAGTGCCTCTGAACATGGAGGTTCCCCTCAGTCACCAGGGCTAGTAGCCATTGATAGACGTATCCTCCATGAATCTATTTAATCCTCTTTTAAAGCTGTTTATTCCTACGGCCATCAGTACAGCCTCCGTAATCAAAACACAAAAACCCAGAGATGCACACTAAAAGGGTATCAAATATAACAAAAACTCCGTGGAATATATTTTAAACCATATTCAGAAACATTCAACAAATCATATGGTATGAAAATATGATATCAGAAATTACTTCCCCATATTGTAATACCAAAATCCAAGATTTAATCCAAAAAATAACAGTTTTTGTTATATTTGATATCATTACAGCCTCTTGCAGCGAATTCCCCATTTTAATCATTGTCTGTGTAAAGTAGTGTTTCCTTTTGGCCATCCTAAACCTACTGCCCATCAGCTTCGTGGGAAGTCCTCTTTGTCAAAAAGACAAAGACCGGTCTCCTCTAGCAGGTGTCTCCGACTGTTCCAGCCGTCACTTAAGAGTGGAACTCTAAGGGTTAATAGTTGCCCCTTGCCTTCGTTTCCCTCGCAGGGCTTGTATGACAACTTCTTGAACATGAAGGTGAAGGATTCCAGTCTCGGCTCGGTCTGCCTGGCCTTGGAGTGGCTGGGCTTCACCGATCTGGTGCGCCAAGTCATGATGCACAGGCAGAACTTCCAGCTCATGCGGTACCTCCCCTTCCTCCCCGTGGCCTTCCACTTGCTCTTTGCCGCATCCAACATCCCCAGACTGGCGTACCCCAACAGCCAGAACGAGGCACGTATCCGGAGTGGCAGTAAGACACGGGGCGGGGGAAACAGACCTGACCCGAAAACTGGAATCGAGAACCACAAGGGTGAGAGAGAAGTTTAATAAAGGGCCGATATTAAAAACCTAGTTTGAAACTGATAATCTACAAAAATGCATGTATTTATTAGGAGGACAGTTAAAAACTATAACGGCCCAATGAAAGCCTTGTTAAAAAGTTCAAGCGGCCTAAGCATAAGGAAGGTCTTGTGTCTATAGATCTTGCTGTTTAACCTTCCAGTCTGGTGTAGTGGTTAAGAGCGGAGGACTCTAATTTGGGAGAACCGGGTTTGATTCCCCACTCCTCCACTTGCACCTGCTGGATGACCTTGGGCAAGCCATAGTTCTGCCAGAACTGTTCTCTCAAGGGCAGTTTCTGTCAGAGCTCTATCCACCCACCTGCCTCACACCTGTCTGTTGTGAGGAGGGGAAGGGAAAGGAGTTTGTAAGCCGCTCTGAGACTCCTTTGGTTAGTGAAGGGCGGGGTATAAATCCAATCTCTTCTTCTTCTTCTTTTACCTCACAGGGTGTCTGTTGTGGGGAGGGGAAGGGAAAGGAGTTTGTGAGCCGCTCTGAGACTCCTTTGGTTAGTGAAGGGCGGGGTATAAATCCAATCTCTTCTTCTTCTTCTTTTACCTCACAGGGTGTCTGTTGTGGGGAGGGGAAGGGAAAGGAGTTTGTGAGCCGCTCTGAGACTCCCTTGGGTAGTGAAGGGCGGGGTATAAATCCAATCTCTTCTTCTTTTACCTCACAGGGTGTCGGGGAGGGGAAGGGAAAGGAGTTTGTAAGCCGCTCTGAGACTCCCTTGGGTAGTGAAGGGCGGGGTATAAATCCAATCTCTTCTTCTTCTTTTACCTCACAGGGTGTCTGTTGTGGGGAGGGGAAGGGAAAGGAGTTTGTAAGCCGCTCTGAGACTCCCTTGGGTAGTGAAGGGCGGGGTATAAATCCAATCTCTTCTTCTTTTACCTCACAGGGTGTCTGTTGTGGGGAGGGGAAGGGAAAGGAGTTTGTAAGCCGCTCTGAGACTCCCTTGGGTAGTGAAGGGCGGGGGTACAAATCCAATCTTTTCTCTTCTTCTTCTTCCTTTTCACGGTCCAGTATTCACTTATTGGTTATCTTATTGTAACATGTATTATTGTCACGTGTACCTCAATGCTGTTTGACCTCTGAAGGAGGCCCCAATAGGGAGGAAACGCGTCAGGTTGGGTATCGGCCCTTGTCTTTTAGGCCACTCGAACTTTTCAACGAGGCTCTCATTGGGCCCTTATACGTTTTTACCTATCTTTCTAATAATTACATGTATTTTTTGTATATTATAAGTTTCAACTTGATTTTTAACATCGGTCCTTTATTAGAATATCTTACGTATCCGAAGGAGTGAGCCGTGACTCGCGAAAGCTTCTCCCCACCACAAATGTTGCTAGTCTTTTTTTAACAGATAATTTTTAGATTTACAAGGTAAGCATGAGCCTAGTCAGCTCTCAATGGCTTCATACATTTCGTACAATGTGTCGGTATTGTACAGTTTGAAAATTACCATAGATGCAGAGTGTTTATTACATCAGGTACTGTTTCTTTGGTCGATAGATGTACTAGTATGGGGTACCATATGCAGACACTGTCCTTCTGACCACCTCTAGTCTCATAAGGTGCTACAAGAACCTATAAGGTTAAATGAGTCCCAAATTGAAGGGCCCAGTAGTTAAATGACTGAACACAGGACTTAAATATATATCAAGCAGGGCTATTTTTGGGCAGGAACGCACAGGAACGGGGTTCCGGCTGGCTCCCGAGTTGGCCACGCCCAGCAGGAACTCATTCGCATAATAGGCCACACCCAACAGCAGAAACTCATTAGGATTGGCTACATTGGGGGTGTGTGGCCCAACATGCAAAAGAGTTCCTGCTACAAGAAAAGCCCTGGGTTTTGACAACAAGCAAGGTAAACAGAAGAAGAAGCAAAAGGTGGGTGTGGCTGGATGAGCACACTTCTGGTAACATGGGGGTGTAGCCTAATATGTTAATATGCTGTGCTGTCAGGGGTGTGGCCTAATAGGCTAATGAGTTCCTGCTGTTGGGTGTGGCCTATTATGCTAATGAGTTCCTGCTGGGCTTTTTCTACAAAAAGAGCCCTGACAAGTATACCAAAAAAAACCCCAACAAACCATGTGTTTACTACAAAAGATCCAATAACAATTAACAGGGCCAAATATAGCCTCAGTTCAGATGAAAATGTTCCCGTCCTCTCAGACATAGACCCGCTTTGCTTTTCCATCCAGGCTCTGGCGAAGTTGACCCAAGTGCAGAACCTCGTGGCTTCCATGCTCTCCGGGGTCGCGCCAAACTCCCGCAGCCGCCTGGGGCCTCAGTCCCTCGTGCTGGAAGCCCTCTGCCTCCTCCTGGACATCCTCTCTCCGAAACTGAGACCGGTAAGGACGTCTGCTTGGTTTCCGCTTTGTGCTATTCTGGATTTCCTGTCGGGTAAGGGGGTCTCCATGCGCTTTGCTAGGCGATGGGATAGCTCACCAAGCAGTAAATGCAAAGGAAAGATTGGGTTTATACCCCGCCCGTCACTACCCAAAGGAGTCCCAGAGCGGCCGACAAACTCCTTTCCCTCCCCCTCCCCACCACAGATACCCTGTGAGGTAAAAGAAGAAGAGATTGGATTTATACCCCGCCTGTCACTACCCAAAGGAGTCTCAGAGCGGCTGACAAACTCCTTTCCCTCCCCCTCTCCACCACAGACACCCTGTGAGGTAGGTGGGGCTGAGAGAGCTCTGAGAAAACTGCCCTTGAGATAATAGCTCTGAAAGGAGTATGGCTTGCCCAAGGTCATCCAGCCACTGCGAGTGGAGGAGTGGGAATCAAATCCGGTTCTCCCAGATTAGAGTCCTCACACTTAACCACCACACCAAAGTCTGTGTGCACTCTTGGGACGGCCTATTCTCTGTAGCGCATGGCCGAGGGGCAAGGGAAGCCGTGCTGAGCTCTGGACCAATGTGAACAAGAGACGGAATCCCTGCCAACTCTCTGCACGGCTTTGTGATTTCAGGTGAACACCCAGTTGTACAGCCAGAAGGAGAAGCAGCAGTTGTCTGAGCTGATCGGCACCATGCTGGCCTACAATCTCACCTACCTCCAGGAGCGGACGCCCGACGGGCAGTACGTCTACAAACTGGACCCGTGAGTGCAGCCTGGCCTTTATAGTCTGCCTTTGCTCTGTGGAATACAATCATAGAGTTGGAAGGGACCTCCGGGGTCATCTAGTTCAACCCCCTGCACAGTGTGGGAAATTCACAAATACTGTCTCACACAGTGGCCAGCCAGTTCCTCTGGAGGGCCAACAACAGGGCAGAGAAGCCGAGGCCTTCCCCTGATAAGAACATCAGAAGAGCCCTGCTGGGTCAGACCAGTGAGGGTCCATCTAGTGGCCAACCAGTTCCTCTGAAGGGCCAGCAACAGGGCACAGAGGCCGAGGTCTTCCCTTGATAAGAACCTCAGAAGAGCCCTGCTGGATCAGACCAGTGAGGGTCCATCTAGTCCAGCATCCCGACTCACACAGTGGCCAACCGGTTCCCCTTGAGGGCCAACAACAGGGCAGAGAGGCTGAGGCCTTCCCTTGATAAGAACCTCAGAAGAGCCGTGCTGGGTCAGACCAGTGAGGGTCCATCTAGTCCAGCATCCCGACTCACACAGTGGCCAACCAGTCCCTCTGAAGGGCCAACAACAGGGCAGAGAGGCTGAGGCCTTCCCTTGATAAGAACATC